TGTTCCACCCCCCAGTGTACCCAGGGCCATCGGGTGGGGTCCCTGCCTTTCAGAGCAGCCAGCAGTGGCAGCGGGCACCACCTAGCTCTTCTGGTCTCCCGGCAGTGAAGCTGAGGTGTGGGTGGGATGCAGGTCCTCTGGACTGAGCACCTGCGCATTCTTAATGCTTCCTGAGAATGCTGCTGAGAGGAAATCAACCAGGCAGGACAAAACCCTTCTGGTCTATTCTTGAAACAAGTTTTCTAGTAGATTAAGTGATTTCATTATCTTTTGGACTTGGCCCATTCATTTCCAGGTCTGGCATTTACAGAAACAATGACCTTTTCCAGCTAGCACGAAGCTCTCTTACATTACCCTTCAGGCGCCCGATTCTCTGTTCCCAGAGCGAGAAAACAATGGTACAGAAGACGCTGTGCGAAGGCCCTCTGAGGAAGCTGGGTGACGTCATCAACGGCTTTCTGTACCGCTGTGCTGTCAGCAGGAGAGCCGGGGCGGGAGAGACTCCCGGAAGGAGTCACAGGCTTGGAAACCCACAGGGGCAGCTCTCCGGCCCTACAGGGTGGCTGGGAGTCAGGTCGGAAGCAGCTCAACGGTAGTGGCTGGGCTGCCGTTTCAGTCCTCACAGGCGTTCTTGAGAAGCCCCGGTAGTCAGCGGGCTGAGCCCAGGTCAGTGGTTCGAGCCCAGTGGCTACCTCGGGAAGGAGGAGATGTGCAGGCTTGGAGTCCTCAGAGGGCAGTTCTGCTCTGTCCGACAGAGTCCACTCGGGGTGGTCTGGTGGGATGTGAGCTCTGCCTGGTTGGGGAGGTCATGTCCAGTCACCCCCATGGCGGCTCAGGGAGCTGCGCTGCAGGGTTTCTCCGCCGCCGTCCTCGTGGGGGCCGGGCACCAGGTCCTTCTCCCGCAGAGTGGGCCGCTGGGCCTCTCGACAAGCAGCCCCTCTCCCCATTTCCCAGGGGCCTGACAGTCACAGCAAAGGGTGTCTGGTAGCACAGGTCCCCAGAGAATACCTCAGGGGCCAGCCTCCGGACAGCGGACACTGCAGAGGGGGCAGAAGGCTCGTGGACGGCCCCTTCTCAGGGCAGGATTATCTCAGCGCACGGTACAGTCAGACAGCATTCCGTATTCATGTAAAATGTGAAAATAAAATGTGTACAAATGAAAGCACTGATGTACAAAAAACAAACCCAAGACCAGGAAAAAAAAAGGAAGGCGATGTTCTGAAAGTGGCTTCTGGGACAGCCAGGCCGCCATCCCTGTGGGCTGCACACTGGACAGTATATCAGACGCCCAGGCCCTTTCAACACTAATGTCCCAGGGCTCCCAATTACTACAGAAAAAGGCATTTGTGAGATAAAAGACCCACTGGCCAGGCTTTATGCTGTAATGGGCGTTAATGAGATTAGGGTGCGCCAGTGCCCGGGGGTTGAGGAAGATGATCGGAGCATTAGGGAACCCATCTCAGTTGGAGAGGCAGCTAGCTCCCAGTGCCAGGGGTGCACGCAGGGGGCTGTGCGAGGGAGCTGTGTGCTCCTTGTCACGTCAGCGAGCGCGTGAGCCCTGCGGTGTCACCGCCCGCCCTGCCTTGCAGGATGAGAAGTCAGACCAAAGGCCAGATCTTGCCCCCGCCGTCTGCTGCGGCTCACGTCTGCTGGCAGTCCCATGGAAGGCGCTGCGGGGCGTCCCCTTCCCCCACCCCTCCCAAGTTCCACCAGCTTATCCGTCGGGCTACAAGGCGTCAGGGCCTCCAGTTTTAACTCTCAGACCTTGTCCACTTGTCAGGGGGCGAGCAGACCCAGCTGATCAGTCCCCAGGGAGAAAGGCACACAAACCAAGAGCCACACTTCCACCTGGGACGTGTCCATAGGAGGCTGGGGTGGGGTCTACTGCACGAGACAGTCTGTGACAAGAAGGGTTTTGTTCCCTTGCGATTAGCCCTGCACAGGAGGCACGGGGGCAGGGGGCTTAAAAAGCCATGACACGGTGGCTCCCACACATGTTCTGAAGTCTCCCCTCGAATTTCCACCTGCAATGTGAGCGTCAAGAAAGCACCCTTAAAAGTATTTGCTGAAGCGATTCAGCAACTGAGGTGCACATTTAAAATGAGGGCAGACACATGGAACCCCAGCTCTGGAGTCGCGCCTGGAGAACTGAGCTGGACTTCCCCCTTGGGGTTCTGAGATGCCCGCTGATCTTCACGGGGAAGACTGCCTTATTCCTCTTCTGCCTCAGAGTGCCAACCTCGACATGGACCACCCAGCACGTGAGCCCCCGGGCCCAGGGCTCCTATACCCAGTATGCTGCCGGGTCGGTTCTGACTCACAGCAGCCCAGTGTCCAGGAGAACAAGACACTGCCTGGTCCCGCACAACTGTTAGGTGTGAGGCCACGGTTGCCGCCTCTGTGTCCGTCCATCTCCTGGAGGGCCTTCCTCTTCCTTGCTGCCCCTCTACCAAGCACGATGTCCTTCTCCAGGGACTGGTCTCTCCTGAAAACACGTTCAAAGTATGTGGGACGAAGTCTCACGTCCCTGCCTCTAAGGAGCACTTCCTCCAACATAGAGCTGTTGGTTCGTCTGGTAGTCTGTGGTACTTCCAATAACCTTCTCCAGCACCACAGTTCAAAGGCATCAATTCTGGGGGGTGGAATGTGGGGAAGTCTTTCTAATTCAACGTCTAACTTTCACATGCATGTGAAATGTGCATGTGACTGAAAATGTCAAGACAGCACTTTAAAGAGGTCTTGTGCAGATTTACCCAACGCGATGCGCCCTTGGATCTCTTGTCTGCTGCCCCGAGCACCTTGTAAAACAGTCTGAGGATCTTAAACCACAGAACCACAGGCTCTGAGTTCAGATGAAGCAAGAGCCATTCGTCAGCTCACTGGTTTAATCCTTAAAATTATATCCACTCAATTAACTTGCTATAAGGCAAAGCTCCCCACGGGGGTGGGGGCGGTGGGGACAGATACTGTAAGAATCATCTGAAATCACTCAGTGTAAGTGCCCAGAAACGGCTGTAGTAATTTAAAAATCCTTCAAAGGAAGAGATAAGAGGCCCCACTTTCGTTTCCGATCGTAGATATCTGCATCTTCTCGCTGTGGTTGTCAGCTGGTTAAAACCTGGTCGACGGATTTCATCCACCCGGCTACCCTGAGAGACTGATTCTGCTTCCATCAGTTTCATTGCTTTTCCGACCTCTATTTACGCTTGTTTCTGGGCACCTAAGATTTTGAGAGGGGTTTCGTTGATGCGATCGATTGATCAGCTTGTTTATCACAGAGCTACTCACATTTTCCAATTCTTCTTGAGACAGTTCTGGTCGCGCTGTGTGTCAGAATTTGTCCTGACACTGCCTGTAAGCTACTGAACTGGCTGGCATTCCCTCCTAAATCCAACCGGACCCACTGCCCCCAGCTGATTGTGACTCACAGCAACCTTACTCGGGGCTCCTGAGACTGTCCCTTGTATGGGAGCAGACAACCTCCTCTTTCTCCCCAGAAGCAGTCAGCAGCCGGAGGCTTAACCCACCGTGTGGGGCTTGTACCAAGGCGAGCCTGTTGAATCCCCCAGCAGCTCCGTGGGAGAAAGCTGAGGCAGACTGCTTTCACAGGCCGGCCGGCTGGCCTTGGAAGCCATGGGAGTGGATCGGCCTGTCCTACAAGGTCACTTCAAGTCAGCGCCACTCGACAGCTGTGGGCTTGGTTGGGCTTTACACCAGACTTGCAACTACAGATGGATGAGCCAGCACAAGGGGGCGGAGGGGGAGGGTGTCCTAATTCGAGCTTCCTTGTCACAAGGGTTACCCTCCTGGGAACACACGCACCCCCAGCCAGGAAGCTCCCTGAGCCGCTGTGTCCTGGGCTCTTCTCAGCCAGTCCTACTGCTGACCCTGGTCTCTCTGACGAGCCATTTCCGGTCTGCGCCCGCCCCTGCCCCACTTGCCAGATAAATCCTCAGGGGTGGCCTGTAAGCCCCAGACCAAAGCACGCCAAGTTGATGGGCTCTCTGGTGTCAAAGACAAAGGTCAGCATACCTGGGGTAAAACCAGGTCCCTGGCCCCACCCCTGCTCCTGCGGGGCTCTGTGAAGTCGCCCCCAAATAAGAAGCTGGAACTGAGACCCCTGCAGCCCCCGAGCATCCCTATGGGAACAGCCTGTGTGAAGGGACTGGGCTGACGTGTTCTTTGTTTTCTTTTGCAATCCAATGCTGCTGCTTCAGTGGTTGTCCATCTTGTACAGGATTAGCTCACGCATGCACCCAGCTCCCTTTTTAAATATAAACGTCATTTCTCAACATAGGCGCCAAAGCAAGACAATTGCATCTAGCCTGCCCCTAAGGAGCAGAGCATCCTGGGAATTGACGTGTCCCTGCCTTCTCATTATTAAAGGTCTCCGGGCGTCATTCCGCTAAAGCTGGGACCAACTCTCTCCAACAGTCTCACACTGAGCAGCGGTTCTTTGGCCTCCCAGAAGGTGAACAAGCACAATCCACGGAGCACCCGCAGACACACTACCACCATGACCATTACTCTCGACAGGTCGAGGGCTACTCTTTCGCTGCCGTGGAGGGGACACCCTGAAAGCAAACGGGAACACACACTGGGAGGCGAGGGAGGGCAGGGAAATGCCGAGCGCACACACCGAGAGCGAGGGGCTGCAGCCGTGCGGCCCGATGGCCGTGCACTCGACCGCGGGGCGGGACCTCTGCAGTAAAGCAAGAGCGTGTTCGTTGCAGGTCAGGGGAGGCTTCAGGAGGCACGGCAATGGCGGCAAGGAGGCAGCTGCTGACACGGCTCACCCCAGGCCCCGGAGCCCCTCAGGACAGACTCAGAGAGCCGTTCCTGCAACTGGCACCCAGAGGAGGAAGCAGAGTCAAACCTGCAGTGGTAGTTCGCCTGTTTTGCAGCCCCTTGGGGTCTCCAAGGCTGCCCAGGGCTGACTGTTTGTAGGCTGACTGTTGACTGACTGGGTGGGCGTACCCCAAGTTGGCATGCAGGGTTACCTGGTAGCCTTCTGTTTTCTTCTGGCACCACTTCAGCAGGGCATTCCGCTTTGAGCCCCCGTACTCTCTCGCCAAGGCGGACAGAGGGTCCTTGCGTTCCTCCCTGAGAAGGGAACAAGGAGCCCACAGTTGAGGCATGCTCTCCCACAAACTGGGACTCCAGTCAATCGGGGGTGGGGGTGGGGGTGGGTGGGACATGGATAATCCTGAACAGGGTAAACGTGCTCAAGGAGGTTGCCCGGGATCACAGCGGCCACTCTGAGATCAAGGACTCTCAGACCACACGGGCCTCGTCCTCCAGAGGTCCCCAGCTGCTCAGGGCCAGTGACCTAGATGCGGCCCAAGGAGGGATGGATACCGAAGCCCCTCTCAGAGCCGCTGCTGTGCCTCCCTCGCAAACCCCGCCCCCACCGTCATCTGGAGGCCTGGTGGTCAGATTTGGTCCAGTGCCTGGGCCACACTGACTGTAACATGAAGGACGAGGCTCTCCGCGAAGAGAGCGGCACAGAGTAGCTCTCGCTTCTAGAGGCTTCCACACGTCACAGCAGAGCAAGGAGGGTACGGCACTAACGATCTCACCAACACCCACCCACAAAACGCCTCCCGTGTTCCTCTGTGCACGACAGGTCTCAGAAACCAGAGCACACGTGCTCCGGGCAGGTGCTGCGCAGTCGGGGTGAGCAGGACAGACGCCAGGGCCCCGGAGGAGCCCGAACAACAGGACGGACACACCAAGCTCACTGCCATGGGGCCCCTCTGACTCGGGGATGCAGGGTGTTGTCTCCGCGCCCTCCTCAGGGGCGGGTCCAAACTGCTGACCTTCTGCCAGCAGCCCGGTGCCGACCACCGTGAGCGCCACCAGGGCTTCTGAACACACCTCACTGGGCCTCAGACCCAAGGGTCTTCATGAGAGTGAACGCGATGGGGGGACTCGAACCACTGACCTGACGACGCTCCCTGGGAACACTACGGAAATGCTGGAAGAAAACAGCTAACCCTAAGTAACGGTACAGCACGGCACTGTCCACGTGCAGGGACTTTCACAGGGGTCGCCCGATATACCACAGTAGCAAAACGACAGTGATAAAGTAGTAGCAACGAAAACCATTCCATGGTCGGGGTCCCCACTTCAGGAGGCACTGTGTGAAAGGGTCGGGCATTAGGGAGGTTGAGAACCACTGGTCTAGGTGAAGGTACACCGTGGGGACTGCTACAGAGGCGATTGTATCTGGAGCGGCTAAGCCCTGGAGCACACGTCTCTGTCAACGCTCAGCAGAGTCAGGCATCGGTCTGCGCTGGGCTCGGGGATTTGCCCCCAAGAACCCATGGCCCTGTACGTGTGGTGGACGATGCTGATGGGTCAGCATATGCGTGTTTCCCAGGGACTCCCAGTTCTAATGTGAACCGAGCAGCCCAGCAGTCTAAGACACCCACGGCCAGCCCTCGGTCAGTGGTCAGCGTGGCCTTAGGTTCCTGGTCTCCCAGTCACCCTGGGTGTCGTCCATTCTTCTACCCCCTTCCTTAAACGCATGACCTGTTGAAAACGTCCCTGACCTCAGCGCCCCTCTTCGCCATCTCCACTGCTGTCATCGCCTCACCCTAGTGGACTTACCCCCAGGACATCCTCCACCCTGGTGGCGCAGTGGGTGAAGTGCTGATCTGCAGGTTCCAGCCCACCGGCAGCTCTGAGTGTGAATGCTGAGGCTGTCTGCTCCCCTAGAGGGAGAGGCTCAAACACCCCGGGGCAGGTCCGCTCCGTCCAGAATGGGCCTGGCAGCGGTGAGTCTGGTTTTTGTTTGTTTGTTTGTTTTTCATAGCTAACACGAGAGCCCCCGTGGGCACTAGTGGCTGAGCACTGGGCTGTTCAGCAAAAGGTCGGTGGGTCAAGCCCACCAGCGGCTCCCCAGGAGCAGCTTTGCAAGGATACAGCCTCAGAACCCCTCTGAGCTCTTCTACCCTGAGCCAGAGGGGTCAGATCGATAGCAGTGGGGCCACCCCCCCCCCCCAAAACACAGGAAAAACTCACTGCCATCGAGTCGATGCTGACTCAGGATGACCCTACCGGACAGGGCAGAACTGCCCCGGTGAGGTTCCAAGACTGTAACTTTCTTTTATTAATTAATTACTTTTATTGGAGGCTCTTACATCTCTTATCCCAACCCACACATCCATCCATTTTGTCAAGCACATTTGTACATATGTTGCCATCATCATTCTCAAAGCATTTTCTTTCCAGATTGTAACCTTTACGGGGATAGAAAGCCCTGTCTTTCTTGCCGGGAGCAGCTGGTGGTTTTGAACTGGTGGCCTTGAAGGTAGCAGCCCCACACCATAGACTGCCACAGCAGGGTTGGGTTCCACAGTCCAACTCTGGGGAGGTGTCATCGCCTGCTTTAGTCTATTCAATCTTCTCTGCTCCTGCCCCCACTGCAGACAAGCCTGCCCGACTCCTCACCCTGCAGCTGCAAGTCCGCAGCGCCATCTATGTGCAGCTGGGCCCGCACTGCCTTCATCACCCGGCTCCCGAGGCTGGCCTCCCCACCCCCAAGCCCTCAGGGCTCCACATGTCTCGCTCCTCCAACGGATGCTCCCCACAGCACCCTCAGGCCCGCTTTTGAAGCCCTGCTCCACCGCCCTCCTGCACACCTGCAGTCTCGTGCGTGCAGCACCTCCAACCCTACGGTGGACAGGAGGCCGCAGAGGCTCAGGACACACAGACTGAGGGCTCGTCAGTGGCCAGAGAGGGCCTGGGGACGGATGGCAGCCCTACCTGATCCGGCTCCGTGTGGTGGGCGTCACAGAGGCCGTGGGCGAGGAGGAGAGAGAGAGCTGTGGCGACGTGGTCCCCATGGCCATAAGCGAGGCTGGCGACGTGCCCTCGGGCGCCGAGACATCCCGTTTCATCTCTTCGCTGCTGCGCCGCGACACTGGGAAGAGACGGTCAGACACCCGGCATCAGACACAACTCAACCACTGGTGCCCAAGGGTCTACACTTGCAGCCATCAAGGTGGTTCTGCCTCAGAGAGACCCTACAGGACAAGGCAGCACTGCCCCCATGGGTCTGCGAGGCCATCGGTCTTTGTCGCTCAGGTCAGCAGTTCCTTTTCACTGGTGGGCAGGCAGGAAATGGAGGAGAAAGCCTCTACAGATTTCATGAGAAATGGAGACAGAAACAGACTAGAGAAAGACTCCGAGGGCCTCTGCCCTGGGGAAGCACGGGGAGTAGAGGCCCTGGGGCTGGCCGTGCACGGTGCTGACTGTGGTGCGTTCAGTCCCCGCTGGGCATCCACGTCCTCCAGCTGCTCTGTGGAGGAGCGCTGGGGCTGCCCGGCCCTCTGAAGACGGAAGGCCTTGGAGTGCCTGGGGCAGTTCTACTGGGTCCGACAGGGTCTCTGCGAGTCTGAAGGGGCTCAAGGACAGGGGGGTAGCTTTTGCGGGGTCTGTACTCAGTGCAACACCATGGAAAGGTGGGTGGGTGCCAGCGGAGGCAGCCCACTGGGGGGTTCTACTTCCCAAGTCGATTCCGACTCCTGTGACCCCACAAGCCCGACAGAGATGCCTCCCAGGTCCCCAAGGCTGCCTGTCTTCACGGAGCAGCCTCGTCCTTCCTCCAAGGAAGCAAGGTCGGTGCCCCAAACCACTCGTTAGCAGCCCGGCACCTAACCCACCGCACCACCAGGCTGCTGTGTGCAGGGCCCGAGTCAGAGAGGATCGGGTGTCGGTGCTGCGGCACGCCTGCCCCCATCACAGTACGGAGAGGCTCTCCCACACCGAGACAGGTCCGCTGCACAGAAAATGGGGGGAGCTCTAGAGTGACGCAGAGAGCGCTGGGGGTGCTGTCGGCTAAGACTGGGGTGCTCACCACAAGGCTTGTGGTTCAAGCCCAACCATCGCCCTGAGGGGCAAGGACAAGGCTGCCTACTGCTTGCTCCCACCCATACAGTCTGGAAAGCCCTGCACAGGCTCAGCATCGGCTCAGCGGCCGCGGTTTGTGGTTTGGGCGTTGAAGCGACGTAGCAAATTCAGCCACTCCACACGCAGGGGTAAGGAGCCTAATCTTTCACAACAGCTGCGACCTGGGACGGATACTCGGATCAGCGACTGGAGCTGGCTCTCTCCGACCGGCTTGTTTACTCAGGGCGGCAGGTGCGTGATGTCCACGTAACAACTTGGAAGACACACTGGGCTAGGGCTGACTCGAC